CCATAATCCAGGTCATCATAACCCATGCTACGCTGGTCATCTTCAAGCCCATAAGGCTCTGGATGAAAGCGATGTAGATCCACGCTGCTCCCACCCACCCGCACCTGGGGCTGGGGGCCGTAGACATCCTGCCTACTAGGTGCCCGGTAGCCCTCCATGCTGGGCCTGTACCGCTCATCAATGCGGGTCACTCGAGACAGACTGCCGTAGTTGTCACCGCCACCTGGATATCCATCTTCATAGTGGCGGCCGTATCCATCATGAGGGTAGTGGAAGTTCCTGGGAAGGGTAGCAGTGCCTGCCTGCCCCACATAGGGACCAGGTCCCCCATTGCCATTCTTGCGGTAGTCACGTCCCAGAGTCTGAATATAGTTGTTTGAAACCGAGGAGGCATCCACAGGCAGCCCATCTGGTCCCATAGGGATTGGCTGGACTGTCCGTGTTGTCACAGTCTTCACTACTTTCTTGACCTTCAAGTAAGGAACAGGACAGAGAAAACAAACTACTGAAGGAAGTGAATTACATAACCTTACATTTTAGATGATTCTAAGAAAAGAGATAAACTCCTACTAGCAACTCTCTCTTGCTAAAAAAATGCTTTAAACATACACCTACCTTTCTTTTCAACTTACAGGAAGTCTCTGAGCAGGAAAAGCGCCATGTAAGGAAGCTCCTGCAGTCTTTGATATGCAGTCTCTCCTTCTCATTTCAATATTTCACACCTCTTTTATCTTCTCTGACTAGTTCATAATTTTCTTTTTTTTTTTCTTAGTTGATAATTTTCATATACCATTCCCACCAATCAACGGCCTACATCTACCCTAATGAAGGGAACACCTTCCCTAATACCTGCCTAATCCTTTCCCTAATAAAGACCCTGAGGAAAGACCTCTTCCTTCACTCCCAAACTTGACTTAGCCTGAGCTCACTTACTGTGGTCTCAGTGCGCCGAGTGGTCCCATCATCAGACGTCTCTACAGACACAACTGACATGGCCCCTTCAGGATCCTCCTCTGTATAGGTTTCCACAATCTGCCCTGGCTCCTGCATTCTGGGGATGGTACTATAGAGAAGATGACTGTGATCCTAAATGGAAAAGAGAAAAATTAAGAAGCTACTATTAGCTCAGATTCCCATTCTTCCCGATGTTAGCTAAAATTTTTATGATCCATACAGTCAAATGCCTTTGCACAGTCAATAAAACAGACATCCTCCAGGTATTATCAGCTTTCAGCCAAGATCCACCTGACATCAGTAATGATTATCCCTGTTACCATGACCTCCTCTAAATCCAGCTTGAATTTCTGGCAGTTCTCTGTCGGTATAATGTTACAGTTATTTTTTAATACTCTTCAGCAAGATTTTGCTTGCAAATGATATTCATGAAATTGAAAATTTCCATATTCTTTGGATCACTTTTTGGTAATGGGAACATACACAGATTTCTTCCACTCAGATGGCTGTCTTCCAGATTTCTTGGCATGGTTTGATGAGCATGTCCAGGGCTGTATTTGTTAGAATATGTCAATTAATATTCCATCAATTTCTGGACCTTATTTTTTTTGCCCATGTCTTCAGTGAAACTTCAACTTCTTTTCTTTCCATTGGTTCTTGATTGTATGCTTCTTCCTGCAAGGGTTCCATGCCTTGCCGATTCTTTATAGTACAATGGCTCTGTATATTCTTTTGATGTTTCCTGGGATCATTCAAGACTTTGCCTATAGTATCCTACAGTATCTCGGCTCCACAGTCAACATTCTTGGCAGCAGCAGTCAGGAAATCAAAAAGCATATCGCGATGGGAAAGTCTGCTGTTAGGGACATCTCTAAAGTGCTCAGGAGCAACGGTGTCTCTCTGGAGACTAAGGTGCGCCTGA